TCTATCTATCTATCTATCTATCTATCTATCTATCTATCTATCTATCTATCTATCTATTATCCATCTATCTATTTGCCTACCTATTTATCTCTTGTTTTGAAAGAGGGTCTCACATAGCCTACACTGGCCTCGAACTCACTATATATTAGAGAATGAACTTGAACTCATGACTCATGATCCTCTTGCCTTCATTTCTTTGTGAATTTGCATTGTGTAATATGTACAGTGTGTAATGTGAAGTGTAATTATATAATATGTGCCATGCTTCTCAGTTCAGTGCAGTTTATAGAAAGCTGTAGGTTGGTGTGCTTTCCCCAAACAAAGCCTTGGAATATTCTCACAAAATTCTTCTGCATTTTAGGCAAGCCTGGCCTCTAATTCTGGGCCAAGTTGCTGAGTGTGTGACATCCCAGATGGCCTTTTGCTTGAGGCACTAGACTAAACCAGAAATGGCTGGAACACTGCTCTAGTGAGCTTGGTTAGTGGCCAAACCCAGGGTGCAGAGAAGTCTGCTTAGTCCCTGCCTTGTGTGGATTATCAGCTGTCATAAGGTCTTGACTCTGAGGATCATTCTTACCTTTGTTTAGAATCTTCAATCCCAGGGAAACTAGCCAATAAAAGTTCATGTTCTAGGATGTCTGTGGTAAGCTCACTTTATTTTCTACTTAGGAAAAGGAGCCAGAAAAGGGAAAAGCCATAAGCCATCGGCAAAGATGGGAAGGCCATAAGCCATTGGCAAAGACCAGTGTGTTTCCATCCTGCTGTTTGGCATTAAGCCTTGCTTGCTGTGGCTAATTGTTCCATAAGCTTTTCTCTTCAAGAGCAGAGGCTCAGTCCAGATAGGGCTCTTGTTTCACCTGCTTGAGGCGGGACTTGTTAGTACCCATTCCTGTGACAAATGCGCCTTCAGGTTCTCAATAAATCCAATACGCCCTGCCTTACCGCCTAGGCCTAGGGTTCTCAGAAAAGAGCTCCAGGTCTCCCAGGGGTGGGGCTCTATTGGAAAAGAGCCTAGCTCAAATACCTCAGGTGTTTGCTTGCCTAGCATGAGTGAATCCTGGCTTTGATTCATTCTAATCACATGAACTGGGCTCAGTGGTCCATGTCTTAATCCCAACACTCAGGATGTGGAGACAGGATGATTAGGAGTTCAAGGTTATCTTCCACTTCACAGTCTGAGGCCAGGTTAGGCTATGAAATCCTATGAGAGAAAAGAAGAAAGGAGAAATAAAAGGGGTTGTCTCAGCCTTTGGAGGGACATCCTTCAGAAGTAGACTAAAGAAAAAGGCATGCTAACACAGAATCTTGTATGTGACCTGCAGGCCTTAGGGTATGCCGCAGTTTCTCATACCTTAGCTGGGTTAGGGTATGCTGCACTTTCTCATACGCTAGCTGGGTACTGCCTCAATGTCAACTTTGGTTGTGGGCTTCCAGAATATTTTATGCTCCACAGCACTGAAAAGCAGTAGCACAGCATCCTCTTAGAACTGTGTCACCCATGACAAGCCTGTGAGGTGACCTCTGTGGCCTCTTGTCTATAGACTATGATTGAATAAATATTCAGTCTTCTGAGTGGCATACTAGATATTGTGGAAAGA